TCAGATCTGGCTCTAAGTATACCTTTAATGTCTCCATTGTTACGAATGGATATGACAAGTGGTTCTATTGCTAGCACAAAAATTAACGCAGAAGGCGGACATCCTTGACGAGTTCCTCGTCCAAGTGGGAAATAAGGTAAATTTATGTTGTTTGTACGGACAGATGCCTGGGGAGAAGAATACAACAATTTAATCCAAGGTATGAAAACTGAACCAAAGCCAAATTTCTGTAAAACATAAAATATGTAGTCCCACTCCACTCGGTCGAAAGCTTTCTCTGCATCAAGTGAAATAAGCACTTCTGGAATCGGCCTAGGGGGAGTTGAATAATTTATATTAAATAAGAGTCTAAAATTAAAATAAGCCAATGCCGTCCTTTAATAAATCCAGTCTGATCACAGGTTATCAAAGATGGTAGAACATTCTCCAGGCGTAAAGCCAGACACTTAGCTAAATTTTTACATCTACATTAAGGAGACTTATTAGACGATAAGGTTTACAGTTCAGAGGGTCTTTGCCTTTTTTCAGGAGCAGAGATATTGATGCTTGGGTGAGTGTTGGAGGAAGGTGAGAAGATTCTAGACTGTCACTGAACATTGATACCAGTGAAGGGGACAGTTTTGGAGAAACTTTTTAATCAAATTCAGCGGGAAAGCCGTCAGGTCCCGGAGATTTCCCACTCTGCATGGACTTAATTGCTAAGTTGGTTTCATCCAGAGTAAGAGGGCCCTCCAGCCTCGTCATTGAATCCCGATCTACCACTGGAATATTCAACCCTTTAAAAAAAGGAGTCTAGAAGAGCAGGATCAGATAGGGACTCGGATGTGTACAAATTAGAATAAAATATGAAAAACTGCTCATTTATTCTATGTGGATCACTAATAGGTCCAAAGCCAGTGTCGGTCTGGGAAATCATTTGATTAGACGATGTTTGTCTAATGTGGTGGACTAAGGCTTTACCAGCTTTGTCCCTATATTCATAAATCACACCCCGTGCTTTAAGAAGCGTCTGCTCTGCCTGTCCAGTGGAAAGACAGTCAAATTCACTTTTATACTGTAGTCTCTTCTTATATAGATTTGGTGTAGGGCCTGAAGCACATAATCTGTCTACACTGACAATTAAGATAGATAATTCAGATAGTCTCTGTGTACGTGCCCTATGCAATGAAGCATTAAAAGAAATGATCTTGTCAATCTTGTCAATAAAAAAATAATCAATTCATGAGAATGTATTGTGTACTGGTGAAAAAAGAAAACTCCTTTCTGGTGGGATTTTGAAAACGCCATGGGTCACAAACAGCATAAGAGTCTAGAAATGAATGTATTGATTCAGCAGTTTTGGAGCTAGAAAAAGACTGAGTTTAAGATCTATCGAGTGCTGGGTTTAAGACACAATTGAAATCCCCACCAAGTATCAAATGGTGGGTATGCAGACATGGTAGAGAAGAAAAAAACCTATTAATGAATTTGGGGTTATCATAGTTTGGAGCATAAACACAGGCCAATATAACATTCAAATTATATAACTTCCCAACTACTATAACGAACCGCCCACCGGGATCTGAGATCATTTGTGAAGAGCAAAAAGGGATTACTTTATTTATTAAAATTGCAGCTCCTCTAACCTTAGCTGGGAATTCTGAATGGAAGACCTGACCAACCCATTTACGCTTCATTCTCATGTGATCAGAAGTTTGCAAACGGGTCTCAGTTAAAAAGGCGATATCTGTGTTAAGGTGCTGAAGATGGGAGAGTACCTTACTACATTTAATGGAATGGTTTAATCCTTTCACATTTCAAGTAGTAAACTGTATACCCTTTTTAGTCATTACACAAAAGGGTTCCCATGGAACTTATTCAATAGATTAATGTGCAGGCCAAAAAAGAAAGAAAAGAAAAGAAAAGAAAGGAAAAAAAAAGACACGTAAGTGTAGAATCCCGCCCCCTATACACTCGCCCCCATACACTCCCCATACGTGAACCACAACTCAGAAGTTCCTCTTTAGCCTGGGTAATTACTAGCTACTTCTAATACCCTGTGCCCACAAACTCTTAGCAAAACATTAGAACAGTGAGTGTGACCCCCTCTTACATACTCACACCACTCTTTAATTAGAAAGGGAAAAAAGTGAATGGTATCAATCACATCTAAATGAGATGGAGGACAAACATGGTCACAAAAACAGATGAATGAACATGAACATAAAAAAGTGCAATTAGCGCATAGCTACCTGGGCTATACACTCTATTTACCAGACATGAATACGATTCTGAGTGTAATAATTGTCCACAAAATAGACTACACTGTACAACACTGGGTCGGGTTCAACTGCAACTGTTTGAGATGCTGTCCAACATGGGGCCCAATCCCCGAGCGAAAGCAAGCGCCGAATAAGGATCTTCGAAGACGTGAGACTTTCCCTGAAACGTAATCTTGAATTTTGCAGGGTAAAGTGCACCGTATCGCATATTGGTTACACCTCGGAGTAAACGTCAAATATTGCCATATGCCGCTCTTCCAGAGGAAAATCTGGGAAGAGAAACACCCGCCATCCGCGATGTGTGAGCTGACCTTTTTGGCCGGCTTTACGGAGCAGGTTGTCCCTCACATCCCCACGGTGAATCCGTATAAGCTCTAGGCTTCTCTCCGTCTCCGGGTTTCAGGGCGAGGATGCGATGTGCTCGGCCTGTTAGCAGTTTGTCAGGAAGAACAAGGATTTCTTGTAAGGCATCTGCAATAAAGTGACGTGGCTGAGGACCCTCTGCATTCTCCTGTATTCCCACCAGTCGAATATTCTGTCGGCGACTCCGGCTTTCGAGGTCAGTGCACTTCTCTCTCAAAGTCGCAACCTCAGTTGACAAAGAGTTAACGGTTGATTCTAGCTCCAACACGGTGGTGCTCCACTTGTTAGTAGCTTCCTGGAGCTCATCAATGTGTTCATTTTGCTTGGAGCGAGCCGCTTCGAGGACCTTTACCTTGTTCTGCAGCTCTTGGCGAATTGCTGTTATTTCCTGACAAAGAGTCTCATTCTGCATGTCTAACTTGACTCCCAGTCCTGCAATCACTGTCATTATCCGTTCCTCCGATGAGGACATTTCAGCACCAGTACTCTTAGCATTAGCTGCAGCATCGTCTGAAGTCGAACCCGGGTTCTCGTTAGCATGTCCTCTGCGCTGGGCCCTAGCCTTGCGCCCTGACATTTTCCTGTCAGTTTAGCCACTGATTAGGTGCGAAATTAATGTAGCAAGTGGCGTTGAGGATTCTGAGTAAAATAAATTTAAGGGGTGCAACTCAAAAGTAATGAAAAATTAAAAGCGTTTGCTTCGCAACCTCACATTATGGCGTTCGACCGGAAGTCCATCCACGCTTTACACTTTAAAGGGAAAATGTAAAGTTTGCTTGAGTTTACTTATGATTCTGGGTAACTGTATGTATCTGTATGAGTGTGTGTGCAAGTGTAAATTAGTTAAGAGTCTGATAGAGTCTGTTAATATGCATATTCAGTTACAATGCTAATTTAGAGCTAGCTACACTCTAAAAAATAAAGCATTGGGTCAACAAAAAAAATTAAGGCAACGTTTTGCATTAGTCTTGTGGCAACTGCTGGTAGAAGTACATTGATCCAACACAACATTTTAAGTTTGGTGGATTAGCTTTTCAGTCATAGTAAAAAGCATTTTTAAGTAACATGAACTCATAAATATAAATTATATGAACTATATATATAAATTATATTATATTACACAATTAAATAATAATTATTAAATACAATTGTATAATTATAAAATACAAGTAGTGTCAGTCTTTCTGAATTAAGTAAAAAAAAAAGCAAATATTAGACAATATGGCAACTTTTATTCTGTACAGTGATTTCACATCACATTGTACTCAAAGCATAAAAAGAAAGACACTGAATAATTTGGCCTGAAGTGCAGGGGAATTCCAGCTTGTCCATGTGGGCAGAGTGAATTCAAACAATTGAGAAAATTAAGTTGTCCACTGTATAAAGTTAAGTTACTAGAATTTTTTTTTTTCTTTATTATTCAGTCAAATATATTACGTTTGTGTGAGTCATGATAGTGTGTTGAAACAACACTTATAATTTGTGCATCACCAGAACTCAATAAAATAAGAACTGCAAATAAAAACTCTGGAAATGTCACATAACTTGATTTTTTATCTGACAACAGTGCATATATTTAATTATTGAAGACCATCTGAATTACTTTTTAGAGTGTAGAGAACTTAGTTAGATTGTCTACCTGCATTCATTTATGAGACAGCAGTACATGCAGCATGTCAGAATTATGAAATGAATCAAATTATCAAGTAAAGCCAAAACAAAGGCAGATTTATCTGCTCTTCTTTGTCATCACAGGAGGCAGATTTCATCGCACAGTGGATGAGCAGGTGGAATAAATTCACGAAAAATATAGTTTTTGTTCAGAACAAACTCCAATCAAACATTTAATCTGTGCTGTGGAGAGACTCGGCATCTGCGCTGCAGTGTGGCATTTTCACTTCCATATACAGAACTGCGTGAGAAGCTAATGGAATGAAACTAGACTAACCACAACCACAGGAAAACCAACATGAGCAGACTGGCATTGAAGATAACATGTCAATGTCTGTGAGGCACGCAATAAAACAAGAAGACATAATGATGCTTCACAGTTCTATGAATTAGTTGAATGATCACTGAGAGTGATTAATTCTATAGAAATAAACTCTGTGAAATCTGTTGTTTCCAGTCCTAATGTGCTCAGTGCTGTTAAATTAAAAAAGCTGAGGGCACCATTTTCGTATTTAGGTTATAATAACAAAGTAAACTGTATTAAATTGCATTTTTTAATGTTAAATATTTTGTCACTTTGTACTTAAAAGTTCTGCATTAACATCAGCACCTAAAAACTCTGACACAAAACTCCCTCCTTCATTGTAAAGTGAACATCAGCACATTAGAAAACCTCTCTGAGGGAGTGAGGAGGGTCTATCAGAATTTCATCCATCAGTGCAAAACAGAAAGTATGTCACTCTGTTTGCAATGGCGATGATGCTGCAGCTGATCTTTGTTCTCTCCACTCTGATCTCAATCACAGGTAAGCAATTCTCTAAACTATTGAGGTTAAAATGTATGTTAATATTCTCTGCCAAATAAAGAGTGTAAGTGGTTGTAGCAAGTGTGCATTTTCTGGTGACCTGAATAGAATTTGTGCTGAACAACATTATTTTAAAGTGTACAACACATTAAGAATGTAGATCTCTGTTAATGTCACTAGTGAGCTGAATAAGTAAGTTAAAAGGAGGTTTAATCCTCCAAACATTTAAAACACATAATTTACACATCAAATTCATTAAAATGTGCAGAAGTAGAGGATGTGTTAAGTCACTGTGTTCTCTGTAGAGGATGTGTAACTTATTTAGACTTATTTAGAAAATTAACAAAACATCATTTGATGAAGGATGCACAAACATTTGCATATGACTGCATATTAAATAACAAAAACAAAAGTATCTGAATGCTTGTTTATCTGCAGTTTGTATTAACAGACAGTATAAAGGTCTTACTAGTCATTAACATGCCACACAGTGACAGATCATGATAAAGAAATCACAATGTAACAAAATATCTTTATGTTCTAATATTTTCTCATTTTTTCTCTACACAGTGTCCTGTGATGAGTTCAGATTGGTTGGTGGTTCTGTTCAACTGGACACACAGGATCCTGTGCCAGACTTTGATGACTTGTTCTGGGAGTTTAACAAAATTAATAATGTTCTAAAATATGAAAAGAAATCTAAAAATATTATATACTTTTCCGATTATAAAGGCAGAGTGGAGTTCAATGAGGAAACCTACAGTCTGACACTGAAGAACTTACAGAAGACTGATAGTGGACCGTATGAAGCACAAGCATCTGGTGACAATGTCACCGTTGTTGCTGAGTACAGACTCTCTGTGTTGGGTAAGTCTTGTATAATATCAGTCTGTGAGAGGAAACACACTGTCTCGACAGGATGCTGTAATTTTCTCTATTCTTTATTATGTTCAATATTGAATTTTTCTGAAGGCCAAACATGTAAAGTTGCAAATCTGTGTAGCAAAAGTTATTTAATGAAACCAAAGTTGAGTTAAAGTGAGTTTGTTTTTTTTTCTCTGCAGTGCTGCTGATGTGTGATTAACTGTTTGTGGTCAGTGTGTGTGAGTGCTGTTAGCAGACAGCCTGGTTTCCTCATAATGTCACTGGGCCTCAAATCTACTGAGAAAACATTAGAAGTTATTCTGTCATTTATATCTCTAGTTATTTTAACATTAGCTACACATCTGTTAAGAATATTATATAGATTTTATAATATATTTTTTGGTGGGTGGGGTTCAGAGGCTCCGCCCCTGATAGAAAGTAATGTAGAACTGGTGCACGTTAAGAAAACAAATCAAGTTGATATTAATTTAAAAAATAGTGTTGTAAGAATGAACGAAAGTCTGCTTTTGACTGGATCACTTTTGCAAAACGGATTCCAGATTATAAAAAATCCTGAAACACATTCAAATCCATTTTTCTTGTCTGTTTTTTCCTGAAATGTACAATCTCAGTCACTGTCATCTCCACAGTTTCCAGGTGAAATTAATAAGGAGTTTAACTTTCTACCTCGAATCACCTGACAAGTGTATTTGTTGGAATGCTCTCTTTTAATACTACAGCCATGTTGATCCATTCTGTAGGCTACTTTAAACACCACCACTGGACATGTCATTGGTGTTAGTTTGTATATCCTCTGAAACAGCTAAACACAAATGTATCTATTTTCTGCTAAGTGCTCGAGGGATACATTTAAAGCTGTAGATTTTAATTTCACAACTAAACAGTATATGAAATTAGCTGTGCTAATCAAATAAACACAGGTGGGCATGATCAAAAGGGGAATTCCACTGATTTTTCAAAATTCCTTTTTTTACATGTAAATAAGTTTTACACTTTTACACTTTTTTCTCTACTCATTTGTGTCTAAGGTTTAATATCAACACCATCACCAACAACCAGTTGGATCTCAGCTAATAAAGATGAAAAAATAAAGATGAAAAAACTTTTACTTATCTGTGATCTGTGATGAGTGATTTATCAGTGACTGTCTGTCAGCATTACAGTGATGTGTCTGTATATCTTCTACCTCAGATCCAGTGGAGGCGCCAGTCCTGACTCACCAGCTAAGCAGAGACACCTGCAGCATCACTCTCACCTGTAGAGGTCATGACCTCTCTATCAGCTCCAGCTATTTCAACAAAACCTGTGAGGAGAAGGAAGTGACATCACCTGAAGGTGTTGCTCTTTCCCTGTCTGTCAATGGCAGCTCCATCATCTGTAACCATAGCAACCCAGCCAGCTGGAAGATAGATGTTTTGGAGTTGAAAGAACTGGAACAACTCTGTGGTGAAAATGTGCACGTACATGCTCAAACACAAACACATCCTGTTATTTGAACCCATCTTGTGCTTTCTTTGTAAAATATATCACAATGGGCCTCATAGACCAATATCTTATTACGTTTTGGTAACACTTTACATTAAGGGTCACTAATCAATCATTAATTATATAATAATCAACTATTAATTTCCCATTATTTAGTTATTAGTTAACTCTTCATTAAGCATTAGCTTTTACTTAGTAATTGATTAAGCACTTATCAATTAGTAATTAAGTACACTGTTAGGTCATAAGTTAGTTTGTCGTTAGTTTGTGGCTTACTTACTCATTATCTGTGTACTAACTGCTGCTTACTACATTGTTAATTAACTAATAAGTATTTCTATTCATATAAAGAAGTAACGTGATAACTTACTAGCACTTATGTGTTAATCCCGCTAATTATCTGTTAATTAACTTTCCATCACCTCCATATATTCAGTTGCTTCACCTTTCTCACATTGGTTTTTGTTCATTAAAGATGCCTATGGTCACTTCTGACCGTAAGATGAGCGCACACAAATTCACCGATGGTTTTGTTATTCATCACTTTCATCTTGGCATATCTGTGCAAACTAACTCATATCTGGTAGGAGTGCATCTAAATTTAGGGAACAAATGCTGGATTTGTGGCTAATTAACCAAAACTATTATCAACATAATCTGTAATAGCAAAAATAAAAACAACAGTAGAAAATATCAGTAATATTAATTTGTGTGCATGACAGTCCAGTACAAAAGTGGATGTACTTACTTTACATGCACATTGATATAAACAAGTGCTGCAACTATTTCATGTTCCATTTAAAGACACATTACACTGTGCTTTTGTTTCATACTACTGACTCACAAACACAGCTTCGGTCATACACTGCAATAATACAGCGTTTATTTTAGGGAATTAATTACACTAAACAATCACTCTACTATGTTAACAACACAGAGTATTTTGTTTTATTTCACATTTTATTATTCCAGTTATTGTCATTTTAACACTATTAAGTTTGGTCAGCAGGGGAGGAGTGCACTCACTGCTGGACATCAAACTCCACCCACGAGCACGGCCATTAGCTTTCATGCCAAACACTGCCGTTTTATTGGCTGGCTACTGAAACATCTGCATGAATTAGTGTGTGCTTCATGTAAATGATATGTAAATGAGGTGCTGGTCGGCTGGTTTCATGCACTGAAGCTGATTTATCATTTATGCTCAAATCTCCACTTGTTTCCACATCGTACAAAATTGCTATGAATCAGACGCAGAGCAGTTCATACCTTATAAAAGGCGAAAAAAGTGTTCTTTTTTACGCGACTTTGATGATCAATGGCCCTTTTCACAAGATTTGTGATTACTTCCGGTTTAAGCATTAGTAGGGTAAAACTCACTTCCTCTCCATATAGGTTAGCTTGCTTAGCTAACTACTGCAGAAGCAGTTTCAAAATGTTTAGTAGTGAACTATAACGCTCAAACACTGAGCTATAACAGCTAAACTTTAGTTTTCCTGCACGGTTGTGACAAACAGCGAGAGTAAGAAGTGGACAGAGGCACTGATTTAACTGTAAACAGAGCTGAGATGCTGTATATTGTTTTTTACTGCAGTTCTGCTGCAGCTGCTTCACATCAAGCCATCTCTGTGTCTTTGTACAACATGCCAGCAATTTCTGTAATCTTCTGTTTTCAAAAGAAAGAAGAACTTTTATATGTAGCATGAATTTTATAGACTCTGTTTATATTAAGCTAGCCATACTGGCTAGAAGCTATTGCTAACTAAACTAGATTGCCTGGCTAACATAAAGCAGCTTTTTCAAACGTCCCAGCAGAACCGCAGTGCTGAGATACAAGTTAGGTTAGCTAGTAGTCTCGTATTGAGCAGTGAAAGGTGGATGTTATCTGAAGTACTGCTCCACGTTAGCCGGCTGGTGGCAGCAGCTAATAAAAGCTAACGCTAGCTTCCTTATTTTGGGAATACAGCTACAGTTAGAAATGGCTTCTAGTGTTGCTAGCTAACCTAGCTACAGCTAAACAACGTCTACCAAATTCATACTACATAGAAGAACTTCTTTTGAAAAGAGAAATATTACAGAAATCGCTGGCATGTTGTACAACTACAGAGACACTGCTTGATGTAAGCAGCTGTAGCAGCAGTAAGCAGGGCTACACCATACACAGCATTTCAGCTGTGTTTAAAGCTAAATCAGTGCTTCCTTTGTCTTTCTATTCTCACTTTTTGTCATGATAGTGCATGAAAACTAACATATGTCTGTTGTAGCTCAGTATTTGAGCATTATAGTTCACTGCTAATGCTTAATCCGGACGCAATCGCGACTCTTTGTGAAAAGGGCCCATGGCCATTACATCTTTACATTTTGACCATTAATTACTTCTTAAATTCCTCTTACTTAACCATTAATTACTGCTTTTGTGTCCCTCTAAGTAAAGTGACAACCTTTACTTGTTGTCACTTTACTTAGAGGGACACAAAAGCAGTAATTAATAAGTAAGAGGAATTTAAGAAGAAATTAATGGTCAAAATGTAAAGATCTAATGGCCATTGATCATCAAAGTCGCGTAAAAAAGAACACATTTTCTTGCCTTTTATAAGGTATGAACTGCTCTGCGTCTGATTCATAACAATTTTGTACAATGTGGAAACAAGTGGACATTTGAGCACAAATGATAAATCAGCTTCAGAGCATGAAACCAGCTTCCAGAATAACAAAACCGTCGGTGAATTTGTGTGCACTCATCTTGCGGTCAGATGTGACCATAAGCATCTTTAATGAACAAGAACCAATGTGAGAAAAGTAAACTGAATATATGGAGGTGATGGAAAGTTAATTAACAGATAATTAGCAGGATTAACACATAAGTGCTAGTAAGTTATCATGTTACTTCTTTATATGAATAAAAATACTTATTAGTTAATTAACAATGTAGTAAGCAGCAGTTAGTACACAGATAATGAGTAAGTAAGCCATAAACTAACGACAAACTAACTTATGACCTAACAGTGTACTTAATTGCTAATTGATAAGTGCTTAATCAATTACTAAGTAATAGCTAATGCTTAATGAAGAGTTAACTGATAACTAAATAATGGGAAACTAATAGTTGATTATCATATATTTAATGAATAATTAGCGACCCTTAATGTAAAGTGTTACCCGTTTTGCTCTTCAGTGTGTGTAGCTTCTATTCTTACCTAAAAACAAAACCTAAAATTGAACATTGATGAATGTCAGAATCCTTGTGAAAAATGCATCAGTGGGTTTTAAAAAGAAATCTCTTCCTAAGAGCTTGTTTTTGTTTTTCAGGTTTAACAGTGCGTGTCGTGGTTGGCGTAGTGGTTTTCATTCTTATTTTTGCCTTCATTGTCATATGTCTTTACCTGAGGAAAAACAGAGGTATTGCCTTTTTATTTCCAGGGTATGTTCAGTGTGAATGTAAACATTTATCATTATCTCTCTTCACAGTTTTCTGACAAAAAAAAACAAAAAAAACACAGTTTTTCAGTTCCATAACTTCCATGTCAAAGCAGATGTTACTGTTGGCTGGTTAGTTAAGACAGCCGGGTCCAGAAATGTTAGCATTGAGAAACCTCACATTTGTTATTGTGTTTCAGAAAAATGACAGAAAAAAAAAAATCAATAATGAGTCAGTCAGTGATTCTCCTCTTTTACTGCCCAATAAACCATATTCTGTCTTATTTTCTTGATGCAGTGAAATCAGTCATTTTAAAATATGTAGTTCTGTGTGATGATGTGATGTGTTGCATGTGATGTGTTTAGTTTCATGTAGGTATCAAGCAACTAAAGACAGTTCCACAGTATAAAGGCAGCCTAAGGCATCTGAATTCTGCAACAATATACAACCTTCTGACTGGTCATTTGCAACAAATAACTGCTTAGTGTGAATGTAAACTAGACACAAGAAGAATGTAAAAGAATTTATTTACAATGACATTTTGATCTCTCTTTATTTTTCTTAAATTAAAAGCAGGAAACAAACAGGGAAAAATCTGTTGTTGAACCTATAATTCCATACCAGGGGTTTCCAACCTTTCGGAACTCGGCTGTCGGTCAAATGTGATCTTAAAAGTATCTATTTTCTGTTTGTGGCAAAGTAAGAAGTAAAAACGTTCAAATGGGTTGAGTGTCTTCTACTGCTATCAAAGTCATTGCTTAGCAACGGCATTTCAGCAGAGTGATAGAGTGGTTGAGAAATAATTGATAATTCATAATTGATTGGTTGATAAATATGCAATAAATGATCCCTGCAGATCAAAGGGTTATCACACCATCCTTCACTGCTTGCTTTTACTATTTGTGTAAAAACTGGCTGTATAGCTGTTAGACAATATAACTTTGGAAGTTTAGGATTGTGTCTACAGTTACTATTAAAACTTCATTTTTCATTTTCCATTCAAAACTACATAGGTCCCACACAACAGGAGAACACTGATGCACAAGCAGGAAACCAGTTGAGGTAAGATTTAAATAATTCTTATTCCTGTAGACAACAATGACAGTTAATACTGTAATTACTTTAACCTCTTATTCTCCATGGTATATTTTGGTTTGTCCATCTGAATTTACGTGACCAAATCATAAGGCAAATTATTCAGTAACTGCATGAAATAAATGTAATTTTTAATTTTATTTATTTCTTTTTTTAAAAGCACTCCGGTTTCCTCCCACCGTCCAAAAACATGCAGTTGAGCTAATCGGACTCGCTAAATTGCCCCTAGGTGTGAGTGAGTGTGTGAATGTGTATGTCTGTCTGCCCTGCGATGGACTGGCGACCTGCCAGGGTGTATCCTGCCTTTCGCCCAATGACAGCTGGGATAGGCTCCAGCACCCCACCGCGACCCAGAAGGATAAGCGGTTTAGATGATGTATGTATGTATGTATGTATGTATTTTTTTAAAAGCTCCCCTCAAATTAACAGAAGGTGTTTTATAATCATACACATATTGCTATATGATTACAATTTACTGCTGAAAGCCAAAAATCTTAGACGCTCTTTGTATTATTTTATAAAAATAATTTTTACAGAGTATATCACTGAAGAGACACCACCTGTTTATAGTTTATAGCCCAGATTTGTGAGAAAATGGATCAACCTTCAGTAGAAAAAAACTTGTAAGTTCAGCTTCTTTTATTATAAGGGTTTAAGTTTACATTAACCATCTATTTGACTGGAAAGAAGACAGTTACAGCTCTCATATGACCCCCACCTTTCAATGTAGCTTATGAAATATTAAAGTTATAAAGAATATGATGAAATGTGTTTTGGAACCACTGGTGGTCTCAAGGTGGTCTTGAGGAGTTGAAGAGGTTAATCATGGGTTTAAGGTATATATTGTTAATTTGTGCAACATGAAACACAGTCTATTATATAAATGACAGTCTGACTTAATTATTTCTTCAGAACAATGTTGCAGCAACACCACCTATCACCCTGGAGACACCTTCTACTGTGTACAGTGTAGTAGGGAAGAAATCACAATCTCCAAATAATGGAGAGTCCAGCTTGCGTGGCTGGAACTGACTGTTGTATAAATATGCATAACTGTAAATTACTTGCATCAGTACCGGCACACATAAATGAGATAAAAGCAACACCTCACGTCACCCAAGAGGTAAAACACACCAGTAATCCTCATTTATGAAGGAGCAAATGTGTGACCGTCAAGGTATTTGCTCTTAACGTCATAGTAAATGTGCCAGAGCATTTCAGAAATTTTATATATCAGGCTCTTCATGTGTTGTGACTGCTCATTATTGTTTAGGGCCAGTATATTTTTGTTTTGAAGGGATGAGGGGACCGGGTGGATACATGTAGCACAGTAGCACTGCTGTTTCTGATCCACTCAGACCAGTGCAACACACACTAACACACCACCACCACCACCACATCAGTGTTACTGCAGTGCTGAGGATGATCCACCACCCAAATAGTACCTGCTCTGTGAGGGTCCATGGGGGTCCTGACCACTGAAAAACCAGGTAAAAAGGGGCTAACAAAGTATGCAGAGAAACAGATGGACTACAGTCTGTAATTGTAGAGCTATAAAGTGCACCTATATAGTAAGTGGAGCTGATAAAATGGACAATGAGCGTAAAAATCGGTGTGTGTGTGTGTATATATATATATATATATATATATATATATATATATAAAAGGATTATGGATCTTAAAGGAACATTATGGAATGGTGTGTTATATTGAAGCTTGGAGGAGGGGCCGTGGTTGAGCATCACATGAAGGATGGAGAGTCAGTCACATTGGACCAGCTGATGGTGTTCACCTGTGTGTTGTTTCTGCCTATTTACAGTCATGTCTTTTCTCATTACAGTTCTGGAGACAACGGAGAGAATGAGACCACGACATAAGATACACAGCAAGCTGAACAGAATCAAGCATGAAAAGTCACACGTGATGCAGTTCCTATTTGTTGTACAAGCTGAAAAGCTAAAGTTTGTGTTGTGGAATAAAAAGAATGCTGTGTGCCACCATACCCTGCTCCCAGTGTCCTCACTCCTCCCAGCAGATCAAAGGGTTATCACACCCTCCTTCACTCCTTGCTTTTACTATTTGTGTAAAAACTGGCTGTATAGCTGTCAGACAATATAACTTTGGAAGTTTAGAATTGTGTCTACAGTTATTATAAAAGCTTAATTTTTCATTTTCCATTCAAAACTACATAGGTCTATACAGACATTTAGACATTAATGATAGTAAATACTGTAATTACTTTACTCATGGGTTTAAGGTTTATATTGTTAATTTGTGCCAAATTATCAATAGAAAGTAACATGAAGCACAGTATATTATATAAATGACAGTTTGACTTAATGATGTCTGCAATGGAGAGTCCAGTCAGACCACGGACCACTGATTCCTGTAAAAACAAAATCCTTATGTATATATATATATATATATATATATATATATATATATATATATATATATATATATATATGCACACACACACACTGATCAGGCATAACATTATGACCACCTCCTTGTTTTTACGCTCATTGTCCATTTTATCAGCTCGACTTACTATATAGGTGCACTTTATAGCTTTACAATTACAGACTTTAGTCCATCTGTTTCTGACTAAAGGTACTGAGATGTACCCTTGAGGGAACCACTGCAGTGACAGTTTTGTACCTTTTTTCTGGAGAGTGCAGAACATTATTTGCCCACAGAAAATACTTCTACTCTAAGAACTCCTCCAGAGTGCGCCTTATGACTCCAAAGGCATTGACTTTTCAAGGAAATAAACAGTGCTGTACAATTTGCCAAAGATTAAAACTGACCTACAAACTTTTCCCAACTAACCAATCCTGAATTCATTAAGTGTTTATAAGTGTAATTGGCCAATGAGGGCTCAAGTTTTTCTGGCCAATTGGTGGGCTACAATCCCTGTTTGGGACCCTAGGGTGCAGCCTAGGATAGCCTGAGTGTTAATCTGCCCCTCATTTTACAGTAGCAGGAAACGAAGCGGGAAACATATTTAGCAAAAAAGTAAGCCTCAACAACTGAATATGATACGAATTTTTCAGTATTTAGTGCATCCACTCTTTGCCTTCATTACAGCTTCAATTCTTGTCAGTTTTTCTGAGATATTTTTCCACTCCTCACTTCAGTTTTGTTCACTACACTTTCTGCTTCTCACACTCCAAGTAATCCCAAACACATTCAATGATGTTGAGGTCTGGACTGCAGGGTGGCCAGTGCGCTGTTCTGAGAACTGAGAACAGCTGAATCTTTTTTCTGATTTTTTTGGTTCTTTTCTCAGTCAACATCCTTTCAGACCCATAACAGTGAGTCTTTTCACAGTGTAAGGATGGATTTTTATTGATGCTTAAAAATTACACTGATTTCCATCTTTCCCACCTGATTCAATAGTACAACATCACCAGCAGAGCCGTGGGTGGTTAAGGAACACACAATCAGTTCCGGGATTTGAACCCGTAAACCTTCCGGTTGCTGGCTCACCTCTCCTACCACTAGGCTATGAGCCGCTTGTGGGTGTTTCGGATCTGAAGCAAGAGTGAAGCTCTCTTCTCTTTCGAAGATAAAAGCTTTATGGGCTGTTTAAGTTTGGGGGAACACTGTCGATGGTCTACCAGGTCTTGCATGGTCATTTAGAGTTCCAATTCTGGGTATTTTTCTGTATCCAGAAACTCTTGGAAACTCTTGTTTTTCACTTGCTTTCCTTTGACTTCCTTCTTCCTTCTTTACCTATCTAATCTCCTCAGAAATATTTCCTAAAAAAATGAATAACTTGTACGTATTGGCGGTTTTAGAATTTTAATAAATGAAGGGTGGTCTTTTGTACAGTGCTGTATATACATAAACTGTAAAGCTAAAAATGTAAGAAAAGTGTACATTTTACAGTTCTGTTCTAACAGAAAGTATCTATACAATTATTTCCCAACTTGTCGCTCTTTTTTCACATTTTGGTTGTGATTTACTGCTGTAAGCTGTGATAACATTTAAGGATTTTTTTTTTACTATTTTTTGCTTAAGCTTGATTAAGTAACAATAGTATTAATCTGAGCCAGTCCTTCAGTTTTTCAGTATGGAAGTTACATGTGTAGTAGCTTTGAATCATACATGGTTATTGCAAACTATTTTTTATTCATCATATGTTATGACTTTTCTTGACAATATTCAGCAGCAATTGACCTCAGTGTAGCCCAGTGTTAATAACATCTGTTAATCAGTTCCAGATAAGATAAGCAAACTAAGACAATTCATTCAATTAAAGAGCTTTTACGATATAGAAGCTTCATTGTGTTTTCCATGCAAAGGTTTGTGATTCTTCTGTTGTTTTTTCAGAAAACCTGAATACGTTCTTTACATATTATTACACTTTTATTTCATTATGGATCATTATGGATTTCATCATTATGGAACTCTTTGAATGTTAACTAGTTGTACTTTTTTTCTTTGTCTTTTTAATCATATAGATGCCGTTATTTACGCCACAGTTTCACAACACAGCAAAGCTGTGAATCAAGCCAAATTGGATGAAGCCACATCAGATGGGAGAAATTAAAGACACTCTTGATTGACACAGTTGACTGAGGAGATTCCCAGTGACTTCACAGCCGTCTTGTGGGAGTCCACAAAAGTACAACACAAAACACAAACAAAATCGCCCTAAATCAAAACAGGCCACCTCTCCATGTCTACCAGACTTCTCAGTCCTTTTCTAAAACTTTAGGCTTTCAGCTCTTCAGTTTGTTGTTGGTGCTGCTCGTCCCTCTCACTTTCTGATCTTTTGAAAGGCTCCTGATCCAAGATGGAAAGAGAGATTGTTGCTCAACCTCACTGTCATTTACATTCATGGTATTCGGCAGATGGTCTTATCCAGAGCAACATACAATCTGATCATTTTACACAGGTAGGTGAAGGTAGTGTTAGGTGTCTTGCCCAAGGACTGTTATTGGTATAGTGTAGGGTGCTTACCCAGATGGGAGACTGAGCCCCAGTCTACAGCATAGAAGGCAGAGGTGTTACCCACTACACCACACCAACCACCAGCTACCACCCCCGCTTCACAGCTCGGCCATCGGGATTGAACGTGAGGCATAGTAAAGTGGCCTTGCTGTCGGACCGTTGTGGATAGTGCGCCATCCACCACACCCTCATGGATCTCATCCCCTCCTTGCTGTCTCAGAGTTGTCTGTCTGCGCTCTGTGTTCAGACCCTGCCTTCCTGACGACTCTCGTGGCCATCATCACAGGGACGGGCACATGCCACAATGTGTTTGTGTAAGATGGAATGGATGAATTCAGTCTTTCCTTAACAGCTTTTTTCATATAACACTTTTGTTTACACTGAGATACTGTCATAAAATTGAACGGTAAATATTTTAAGCAGAACTGGCTCTAGTCTTTTTGGGGCCTCAAGCAAGGATTTGGGCCCCCCTGCCCTTTTTTCTATCTGATATACTGTAAAATTAGAGGTTAACTAATGACAGTGGCTCATGTAGTCTGAATTAAATACATTTATTTTATATAAATTTAGGGGCGGTGGAGCAGTGGGTAGCACTGTCGCCTCACAGCAAGAATGGCCTGGGTTCGATTCCCGGCCGGGTGACCAGGGTCATTTCTGTGTGGAGTTTGCTTGTTCTCCCCGTGTCTGTGTGGGTTTCCTCCGGGTACTCCGGTTTCCTCCCACAGTCCAAAAACACGCAGTTAAGCTAATTGGACATGCTGAATTGCCCCTACGTGTGAGTGAGTGTGCGAATGTGTTTGTCTGTCTGTCTGCTCTGCGATGGACTGGTGACCTGTCCAGGGTGTATCCTGCCTTCTGCCCAATGACAGCTGGGATAGGCTCCAGCACCCCACCGTGACCCAGAAGGATAAGTGGTTTAGATGATGTATGTATATAAATTTAACTGGCTAATTTTATTGCTGATGATTAGATGCTTGTTTGGGTTCTTAATAAGTTACAGTTCAAACTATAGATAATCTTCTCAGTATTCAGGATTCAGGCCTCTGTGGGATTCAAGCCTCTGTTTTTATCGCTTACCTCGCTAACCTTCAGGCTTAGTTGGATTTAAGCTTTTACCATGGTGACCAAGTTAAACATGCTTTGTTAGACAGACCCATATCGGCTACTTCTTGTTGTCAAAGTCAAAGCAGGCCAATTATGTAGACAGTGACTTATAACTTAAGTTAGCTGGCCAAAATGTCAACTTTGTAAATGTCTGGCATGCTGGCAAGAAAGTGGAGGTATAGCTGCTCTATTTAATGATTCAAAGGGTCTCAGCATATCAGCCCCAGTTAAAGACGCCACTTTATCAGATCATTACTGTGTTTTCTTTGAAATGTGGACCTCCCTAGACATCAAGACCAGACAAGTTTGATTTAAAATGTTTATAAGTGACAGCACAGTTACACTTTTCTTAAAAAGTGCTCTGCACCCTGCAAACCATCTGATTCTGTTGATGCTTTGATAGAAAGCTTCAATCAAAAATTGTTAGTGTTGTGGATGAGATTGCATGAGTTCAGGTTAGAATCATATAATGCCAAGAGAAAGCACCATGAATGAATGATGCCACAGTTCACCTCTAAAAGAGAAAATGTCGGAAGGCTAAACGCAGGTTGCATAAAACAGATCCACAAAGAAATCTCCAGAGATGTGCTGCAAAGGTATGCTGCATGATTACAAGACAATAAGGTGTTGTAAAAACATTTACATATATTAGCCTACTTACAAAAGTTCCAGTAACAGCTCTGTATGTTGTGTATTAGAGATATTTGCATAGGCCTACTTCCTTCTTCCTTTGTCATTCAGACACTTCTCTGCTTATTTCTGTTACCTTTCATTTTCTTTCCTTATTTTCAGAAGTTTATTATGTTTTTTTCAAACTACAGTGTCCGAGATCATTATATAGACAAGTCAGGAGCACTGCAAAACCAAA